TGCAAAAACAATGACGGATATTAATTTTTTTGCGGAATCAGATTTGTCGCGTAGCGCCAATGTCGTGCGAAGTATTGACAGTAGAAGTGATGTCGTAGCACTTCCGTCGGCCAGGGCAATTTGTTGTAGCACTAATTTCGCGGAGCCATACAGCAGGATGCCAGCACCAGTTGCTAACAATGCAGCAGGATACGAGTACAGCCAGCAATCAGCAAAACAGCAGGATGAGAACACCGCCAGCAAATCAGCAAAAACAGCAGGATGCGAACACGCCTTAAACAGTGTCAGGTTGAAAAAGTGTGTGCCTCCTTCGCCCTCATCCTATTTTTGAGGGACGGGTCCGATACACTAGGCATGCCAACAATTAATCTGTATTGGGACGCTGTCATGGGGATGGGCAACGCATTGTCTCTTTTCGCTCTCGGGGGGGGGGGGGGGGACGTTTACGGAGATTTACCTTGTCAAATTTCATTAGGCTTAAATTGCGCTACGTACGTTTTTCTGGATTGAGCCAGAAAACAGCGGAACGGACGATATTTTCCGATCACAGTATTTGTTATCGTCAATTTTCCCACTCCTCAAGAGGGCCACTTGTTTGTTTAAATAGAAGAAAATGTGCGCCGTGCTCGGAGAGCAAGTGATGAATCAAATACGGTATTTGTAAAACCGAAAATGATGTGGTTGGCAATATATATTGAAGTCGGGGATGCGCAGACTATCTCAGGATCTGCAAACTAATCTTCCGGAATCTTAGCACTCAAAGAAAGAAGAGCGAAACCAATGGTGTTCTCGGAATTTTGGGTCCTGCCAACGCCGCAAACAATACAGCATCGTGTTGGACTGGGCTTATTTTAGGAAGATTGTCAGCTCAGTAATCAAGTAATGGGATTCAGCCCAGCATAGCACACGCCATATGACCGAGTTATCGACTGGCCCTGCATAGTGTAGGGCGGCGTGTGTATTTACATCATATCTGTCATCCAAGTCTGCCTTTTGCGTATGTTTTAACGTTTCGGTGAGAGCTCATCTGAGTGTCATGGGTGCGTGAGAGGCGTATAAAAAATGAACTTCCGCAATGATCGCACTTTTGGATCCTCTGTGTTTTCGCCAAGTATTTTCTGAACATGCAAGACGCGTGCCTGCACTGATCACACACGGTCCAGTGGCCATCGCAGTTATGCCTGATAAGATCGTGCTTTTTAGGACTTCTGCTACCAATTCATGCGCCATAGGCCACCTCATGGAGCATGTTCGTATCGACGCCTTCCACGCCACAACCGTCTCCAAAGCTGTTATCGATCAGCAGTGGAAACATCCGACGTGAGTTGTGGGCCTCTGGTCAACTGTTACAACAGGGTTTCTGCTCGCTGATGACACCTGTCTGATCGGAGCGGATTCATAGCTGGAGCAGCCCTAGCGAAAAGTTTGTGGGAACCGGCGCGGGATCACAACTGTTCTTACAAGATCCTGAGGGATTTCACATACTTTTCTGGAGGACTGCTAAGTCTTGCGGGATTTCCATGTGGAATTCGGGGGTCCTACAAGGTTGCCCTATAGAATTACGGGATCCCACATCGCTGTCCTAAAGGACTTCAGGATATCACATAAACCTCCCCCAGGACTTGAGGTACCATGGAGCAGTCATACGAGATACGTAAGCCTACAGGATCAGTCCTTACAGGATACGTCAGCCTCGCAGGATCAGTCTTACAGGACACGTTAGCCTCACAGGATCAGTCTTACAGGATACGTCGGCCTCACAGGATCAGTCTTACAGGATACGTCAGCCTCACAGGATCAGTCTTACAGGATACGTCGGCCTCACAGGATCAGTCTTACATGATACGTAAGTCTCACAGGATCAGTCTTACAGGATATGTAAGCCTCACAGGATCAGTCTTACAGGATACGTAAGCCTCGCAGGATCAGTCTTACGGGACACGTAAGTCTCACAGGATCAGTCTTACAGGATACGTCAGCCTCACAGGATCAGTCTTACAGGATACGTAAGCCTCACAGGATCAGTCTCACAGGATACGTAAGCCTCACAAGATCAGTCTTACAGGATACGTAAGCCTCGCAGGATCAGTCTTACTGGATATGTAAGCCTCACAGGATCAGTCTTACAGGATACGTAAGCCTCGCAGGATCAGTCTTACGGGACACGTAAGCCTCACAGGATCAGTCTTACAGGATACGTCAGCCTCACAGGATCAGTCTTACAGGATACGTAAGCCTCACAGGATCAGTCTCACAGGATACGTAAGCCTCACAAGATCAGTCTTACAGGATACGTAAGCCTCGCAGGATCAGTCTTACTGGATATGTAAGCCTCACAGGATCAGTCTTACAGGATACGTAAGCCTCGCAGGATCAGTCTTACGGGACACGTAAGCCTCACAGGATCAGTCTTACAGGATACGTCAGCCTCACAGGATCAGTCTTACAGGATACGTAAGCCTCACAGGATCAGTCTTACATGATACGTAAGCCTCACAGGATCAGTCTTACTGGATACGTCAGCCTCATAGGATCAGTCTCACAGGATACGTAAGCTTGGCAGGATCAGTCTCACAGGATACGTAAGCCACGCAGAATCAGTCTCGCGGGATACGTCAGCCTCACAGGATTAGTCTTACAGGATGCTTGATGGGAATGTTCCACATTTGTGCGAGGTCTTGAGCTGAGATAACCACTCTGAAATTAACTTGGCGCATTTCACCGCTCTGCCCTTCTGAAGTCCTAAAACCCTCTAGCCCAGAGCGAAGAGGGCCAGCGTCCGTGAGCGCGGCTTCCAAACATGGTGGGCTCAATTGGCTCTCAAACCATGTTCAGCAAACTGTATAATCTGCAATCGCGAAGCACGCTTTGTGCCACATAACATAAGTTGGAAATTATTTCTTCTCTTGCTAGTTATCACATAAATATGATTTACAACCGAATAACTTAAGAATAACACCATAACCGAGCATGTGCATATCAGAAAAAGCCTTAAACTCACGGACATGTATGCAAGACCAACACGAGAAACGGAAAAACACAAGCACTTAACGATATTTGACTCGGGCACACTTCCAGCCCACGCTGTTATCTCACGACGAGTTTGAAGTACTACAAACATGTAACAATTTCAGGCGGTCAGTTTGGCAGCATCTCAGAAACGTCATAGGTCACCGTCCATGACGCATTCAACCAATGACGCATTGAGGGACAAATTCATTAAAAAGGAAAATTTTGTTCTCTAGAGCAGTCTTTTCCACTCAAGAGTGTACTAATAGTTGTAAATGACTTAATTTCATCACATCTAATGCTTGCTTCACTGTCTTCCAATGCGAATTATTCCCTTTTAAGCTCCATTGAGCAGTTGCTTAAAATTTTACAGTGCCGTGCAGAGCTGTCACATACGATGATGAAGTCTCATGGCATAGAATTTATCAGCGTTCAAAACTGGCGATTCACATAGAATTTGTTTTGCAACATTCCGTAGTTGCGCAGTGAATCCCAGCATCGTCCTGGAGCACACACATGCTCACGCACGCTTCCGCATACAAAACTGTTAGGATTCTGGCGTCTCTATGAGACGCCAGAATCCAGAAATATGCCAGAAAAGAAGGGCGGTACCGCGGGAATTGAACCCCGTACCTGTGGATTGGCACGTGTGCGACTAAACCGCTGCGCATCCAGAACCTCACGATCGTCATGGACGAGTTATTACTTAAGGCTTCGTCAGGACCACCAAATGTGGACGCTTTGCCTTAGCAAGAAGCAAACACACACACAACACACACACCCACACACACAGAGGAGACGAGAAGACGAGAGTAGAGACGAGGAGGATGAGAGAGAAGGAGGACGAGATGGGAGAGAGAGAGAGAGACGGAGAGAGAGAGAGAGAGGAGAT